TATATGTAATTCTTGTTGTAATAGGGTTTATACATTTCTTGACTAAATTAGCTTGTTGAGAAAAAGGGCATTCATCCTATCCTTTGAAAGCAGAAGGAGTAAGGAGTATGATCAGACTCTTGGAAGTAGCAAGAGTTCTAATCAACCTAAAATATTCTAGCCTATAAAAGAATATTCAGAAAGAATATTTATTTTAATTCAATGGAAGAAATTTAATTAATTTAAAAGGCATATCAAAATTTCACCCATTTTTGTAGAGTGAAATGGCCAAAACATTTTTTTACAAAGAGCATCAATTTTTTCGCCCTTGTGGCATTAGTAGAGGTAGTGGTAAGAATGATAGGACCACAATAATGATTAGGGATCCACATTTACATCACTATGCATATTCCAAATTAATACTTCAAAATATGACTCTTCTATGTAGTTGCCCTATGTCAGAATTCCTTTGGGGTCAATAGCAATAAACCCCTTTCATAGCATAGAGTCTACCATGAAAGCATGTGGCTCAAAGTCCTCTTTGATTCTAAGCTCCTTTGTATTCTTTAATGAACCAGGTAAGGCTTTTATGTTAAGGACACATTTGTTAGTCATTGCATGAGTATTTTTAATGGCTTGATTTTGCCACTTTGCAATTTGAATGACAATTTTAAATTGAACTACTTTCAATTTAGTAGATTTATTTGAAGAATCTTTATTTTGAAATTGTATTATAATTAGAAAATCAAAGCTAGAACTCAAAGATAAAGATAGACATCTGCCTTTTTTTGGATCTTGGGTTTATGGCTTAGCTAGATTTTGTTTGTTTTATTATTCTCTAAGTTGATGGCCTCTATAACTATGAAGCAGCTGAAGAGATTTGGGATGTTCTTGGTTCTATTGCTTACCCCGTCTAAGGACAAAGAGGCAATGCTCAACTTAAAGTGATATCAACCATAGTGGCCTATGTAAGTAGATCTTTTAGTGTTATTGGTGCCATCTTGATCCCTCTAGAGTAGTGCCACTAGCAATCTTTCACCACCACCATGTATAAAAACCCATGCATTTCTCCAAACTTCCATGGAGTGCTTCTATGAGCATGAGCATGAGCATCAGCAAACAATCCTCATCATCACCATTTGATCAAACTCACCACTACCCAAATAATCATACTAGTAATGCTTCTACAAGGACTTGTCTATTCTTTGAGCATGAAGAACAAAGATGACTATTAGTATGATCACTTAAAACATATAATTCCTTCAACCTTTTCACTTAAATTAAATTAGTGAATTGAAGTATATTAGGCGTAATTAAAATTTTTGGTTGAAATTTATAAAAATTAAAGTTTAGAGCTAAATAAGGACATGCGAGTGGTGATCAAGGTCCTTTCCAAGCTCATCAACATGTATCTGTCATAGTTAAAGTTTAGATTCATCTATGGCCATGCTTACGAGTACATTGGAGATTTGGACAATGCTCTCAAGGAGTTTGAAGATGCCATAAAGGTGGATCCTCTGTTCCTTAGAGCATTCCAGGTAAGCTTCAGAGAGCATTTTTGTTTGCAAGAAGTGATTTTTTGTTTCTTTCTTTCTTGCTCTTGACAGAGCCTTGCATTGGTTCTTAAGAAGCAAGGCAAAGACATTGATTTCATCCAGAAAGTCGTGGACAATTCCATGGCAAAGGCCATTGAAGCATTTGAACATACATTAACTTATTTTAGGTTAATTTTATAGGCCAAGTTCTATGTTTTACATACATAAATGTACTTAGGGTCAAATATTAATCTATGAGTTAATACTACTTAATTTATCATTAAAATAGGATAATAAATAAAATTTAAAGTTAATTTAATTTGTTAGATGAGAAGCATAAAAATTATGGTTCTCTTGTTAATATTGTTTATTTTATAACTGTTGATGTTCACTTCTTTTCTTATTCAGCATGCAGGTATAATCTATTAGAAGAATATCTTATTAATATTATAGCTTTGAGGCTATTATTTTTAGATTGGTAGTTATTAATGGAAAGTGAAAGTAGTTCCATTTAGCTAATATATATATATATATATATATATATATATATATATATATATATATATAAAACCTTTTTATACACAAATTTTAGACATATTACACCTCTATATTTCAGCTCCCCAGAGGGAGATTTAAAAAAAAAAAACCAATCCACCTTCTTCTACACACCTATGGTAGTTTGGTAGCAAGCTAGAGGTAGGGCTGACCCATAAAAGTGCATTAGTGTCATGAATTTAGCCCAATGAGATGCCTATTATAGGTGTTTGTGCAATGCTTATGGTGGCCCCATGAATGGACCACCACCTCCCAATGAAAAGGAAGGAAGGCTGTAAAAACTCTTAAATGAATGTTTTAATTAATGATTTTAATGTTAAGAATTTCTAACATTAGGATTAGCCCAAATGACATAACTTTAGCATTATTAAATTATAAAATTTAAATAGGCTCATTAAATTAGTACTATTTGTCTAATTTAATGTTGCTTATAGATGCAAGAACTTCTAACAATGAGGCAATAACAACTTGCATTTATTTCAATTGCATGGGATGTGCCTCACAAACTTCTAATTTGTACATTTGCTGTCATTAGGAATTCTAGCTGACTCACTTTTCATTGAAATATTTAAAAATAGGTCAAAGGTAAAACATGTGAATCATTAGTTATTTGGTAGTGCATGCAAACTTAGTCTAGTAAAATATATATTATAAACCTTTACACATATTTAATTTTGTACAATATTGAATCATAATTTTGGTTTTACCTCAGTATATGTAACACTTACACCATAAAAGCTCAATTATCATTATTTACCAAAAATTAAGTTATACATTACATATGCTACACTATAGTAAAGAGAGACTATCAATTTGCACAATTGTGGGACTTCACAAACTATCAATTTAACTAATAGTAAGATTTTATAAACTATCAATCTACTTAATGGTTAGCAGTTCACAAATATCCTATATAAGATACAAGTATGTGTCATTGTTTATAATTATTAATATAAGAAATGTATTCATGTGAAATTAAAATCTTGATCTTGTAGCATAATTAATTGAAAAGGAGTTATTTCTACTGATAAAATTAATGATCGATTTCTGAGTCTAACATATCCCCCTAAATTATTTTTAATACAATTTATTTTTATAAATCTTATAGCTTGTTCAATGTCACTTCTAGTTTTTATAAGATGACAAGTTGCTCTTGTTAATGTTACTAAAACAAGTCTAAGATTTAAAAAGTTTTCTCTATACCTTCTTCTAAATAGATCTTTAGTTCATTGAGCTAACATACATGTTGAAACATTACAATATTCACTGTTACTAATTCTTGAATATTAACAATTTGTATAACAAGATTCTATAGCAGGCTGGAGTATCCAAAAGTTTTTATAAAATTATATACATAAAATAAAAATAAAATATTATAACACATATTATTTAAAAACTTTTAATCATTATTTATAATATTTAACACTAATGGCATGTAATTTTAAGCTAATAAATCACAAAGTTAAGCCTTTATTAATCCTTACTGCCATGTTATTTATATATTAAAATATAAAAATAAAAATAAAAATGTAATTAATAAATTAATAAATAAAGGTGTATAAAATATGTATTAGAAGAGAAAAATTTAAATAAAAAACGTTAAAAGAAAAAGAAAGAAAGTGAAATTTAACTTTAGAAAACAATACAGAACATCTGTAAATACATAGAATACAAAAAAAAATTAAAAAATATTCATTTTTCTTATTAAGCCTTGCATTCTTATTTCTCCCAAAAAGTTTGAATTATCTTAATTAACTGAGTGTTTGGTTTTTTGGTTTGCCATTTGGTTTTAATTTTTGATGGTTCTAATTTATTTTGTGGTTATATCAGCATTACCCATGATTGATGCTTCTGACCAGTTCACAAATCCAATATAAAGATCTAGACAAGGATTTCTCAAGAAATGTGCTCGTGTTGTAGTGTCTGGATATAAGCTAGTGCTAGTGACACTTTTAATGAAAAGGCCTTGGCAATTGTTTGAGGAGAATGGCTAATGGTGATTGTAGAAAAATGGAAATCCAAAATTAAAAGGGGCTACATGATTTATAAGAATACAACTTTTCATCAGTGATATGAAAAAAAAAGAGCTAAAGACAACTCAACCATGTGATCATGCACCAAATTTTTTCTTTCTTTGTCACTTGTTTTTTCATGGAATTTTTGCCTATGACAAGTGGATATGAAGCTGTAAAGTAATCTCTAGAAAATCTTTTTTAATTAGCTCTAAGGGGTTAATAGCATATGAACCAATCATGCACTGCCACTGCTGCCACCCATCACCATATACAGCCCCGGACAGAGAGCAGCACCCGTCGTGTCCATCCCAGCATCAGAGTGGCTCGACATCGAGGGGAGGCCACCAGCCAGGAGCCCTCTTCGTGATGACCCACCGACCACCCGCTCACCCTTCTTCTTCTTTTTCTTATTCTTCTTCTTCGTCTTCTTCGGTAAAAGATTTTCCATGTTACTTCCCCAAAACACAAGCTTCACAAGCTGATAGTGGAAGAAATAGGAAGAGTTAGGCTTGTCACCATGCCTTCAAAAGTTTTTAAACTCTTTAAGACTTAAATAGCCAACTCTTAAATGCCATATTTCAGTGTTGTTTTTGTTGGCAGTGGCAAGATTGAATTGTTCATTCCCCAAGTAATAAAGATTACTCTCTTGGAGCTGTTATTATGATTGCACCAGTGTTAACATTAATAATAACACAAAAGTTAGAATAAAAAATGAGTTTGTTACCCATTTGTGCCATATAGATTGAGTCTTTACATAGAGTAGAGTATGAGCCATGCATGCTCTTAGTCATGCTCATGTGAGGATGACTAAAGTATTTGTGGCTGGGACTTGGAATGCCATCAATGCCAACAACCTCATGCTCACTTGTACAACATATTCTCCAAGACAAGTTCTGTAATGAACAAAATCTTCCTGTGCTGTCAGTAGTGTCATTCTCCATTCATTCTCCATTTTTCGAGTTTGCAGAGTTATCCTTTAAATTGAAGGACTTATCAATCTGCTCACTTCACATGAACCAAACGAAAGAGCTTGAGTGCATTCCACCATCTCCTCCTCCTCCTCTCAGATAATAGCCAGACTCCCTACTTCTGATGCCAGAAACATATTTACAATTTTAAAAGAACGGCCCTTCATCGCGTTTGAATGGTCCATATTTCAGAATCCTGCTCAAAGTCCAACAAAGAAATAAGCAACCAAGCAAACAACAAATTAAAAAAACAAAGATGGATTACGTACTTAGCATAGCGAGCAGGAGTTTTGACCGCACCGAGGCTGAGCCACTTCTTAAACTCCTCCATCTCCAGGAGCTGCTGCTGGCGCCCGTAAACTCTCAACGGAGACTTGTGCTTGCTGGTGAAACGATGCGAGTGGTACTTGAGGAACAAGTCCTTGAACGCTTCCCTGTCCAGTGGGATGTCCTCCTCTTTGGCATACTCGAGAAGCTCCAGCGCTTGGGCGAAGTTGGCACCCTTCACGAACGCATACATGAGCGTCTCCACGAGCTGCTTGTGGAGGATTATCCTGTTTGGCCGATCTCTCCTCGATGCAAACTGTATCTGTGGCCAAAGTCCCAGAACGTCTGTCAGCCGGCTCCGCGTGATCAGCCCCTTGACAACGTACCAGTACGAGTAGCTATCCGGCTGAACACCCGCCGGAGCCATCCTAGCCAGCATCCTCTGCGCGTCCCCTATCAGCTTCTTCTTCGAGCAGTACTCGATCACCAAGTTCCAGGAGAAGAGGCTGATCTTGACGCTCGGGAACTCCATCACCGCCTCCAGCACTCTAACCATCTTGCTCGCTCGCTCTTCCACCGTCAAGGCCTTCAGCAAGGAGACGTAAGTTGCCTCGTCTGGAACGATTCTCGCCTCGACCATCTCCAGAAACGTGTGATAAGCGAGTAGCCTGTCTCGGCACCTCACGAGTCCCTGGATGAGAGGGCCGTAGATGGAACAGTCGGGCTTGATCCCGGCTCTCTTCATCAGGATTATAAAGCTCGCCGCCTTGTCCAGCTGATTGTTGGCGCAGAACCCGTGCATTAGCGACTTGTAGGCCGAGAACGAGACTTCCATCCGGTGCTGTAGCATGTACTGAAGAATGGAGCAAATCTCCTTGAGCATTCCCGACGCTATCATGCTCGCCACGACTCTGGCTTGATCCAGCCCCGTCCCTGCGTCCTCGAGAGGCACGCTGCTCAAAAGGTTGGCAGCGTCGCTCAGCCTCGCTTCTAACGCATACGCCTTGAGTAAGCTGTTGTAGACGTCTCCTTCCAGCTTCACAAGGTTCCACAAGCTGCTCTTCCCTTGCACCGTCTTTTGCAAAACCTTCTCGGCCTCCTCTATGTTGCCCGACTCCACATAAGCGTCGATGAGAGCCTTGAGAGTCGACGCACTGGGCCTGACGCAGGCAGCCTCCATTCTCTGTGGAACCTTCCGGAACAAGTCGAATCGCCTGGCCTTCCCATAAACCTTGATAAGCAGCTCAAACGAGTCGCTGTTTGGAAGCACACCAAACAAGCTCATGCTGTGGAAAATCTCCTCGGCATTCTGCGTGTCGGCCAGCGTCGCACAGATCCGGAGAGCCGAGTTAAACGACGTGACGTCCGGCCTCATCGAAACCAAGAGCTCCTCGTTGCCTTTCGGCATCATTGCAAAGTCCATCAACTTGATGATCCTGGCCACCGGGTCCGGCTCCTCCACCATCTTACACGGCTCTCTACTGCTCGCGTCCACAGTCCCACCCGTGAGCTTGCAAATCTCTTTGAAAAGCTCCAGGGCCGCTGGAGCCTCGGAGAAACTCTCGGCGATCTTGCTCACCACCGCTGTCCAGACTCTCACCGGAGGATAGAGCCCGGTCTGGAACATGAGCCGCAAAGTCGACCGAGAGAAGTTGGCCATGCCAACGCCGGCGTAGGCGAGCGCTAGAAGCGAGAGGCTGTTTTGATCCAAGAGATCCTCTCTGCGCGACGCCACCAAGTCTTGGATCAATCTATCAGCCTGGGAAAGACTGAGCGGTGTCTGCTTGTAGGCTAGCTGCGATATCAGAGTGCTGAGACTATCCCGGCTTGGAAACGAGCCTTTCCTTCTAAGCCCATCTACCGCAAACACAGCATCCTCCGTTCGCCGCTCCAGCAGCGCCCTGTCGAAAGCGATCGTCATACTAGCCACACTCAGGGAGTGCTCGTCCGAGACCGGGGAAGGAGAAGGAAATCCACCCGTGGCGCTTGTGCCGGAGCTCAGGCCTGTGCTGAAATGCTGCTGCCTCGCTCGATATCTCGTAGGATAAAGCGCTGTGATGCGATGTGAGGTACTTACAGTGGCATAGCGCCGAAATGCGGATGATTGGAGCTGGAGGAGGGCGCACCGCAGCACCATGGCGCCTACTACAAATTTAGGGCATTCCTAAGTATATTCCAAAGAATATCAGTTGCATATTGATCTAATAATAAATACAGATAATATATTTTTAAATACCATACAAAGATATATTCTATTTATTTATTGAAATACTTCAATATCTATTGCTAAGAATCCTTATTGATCTATTATATCTCTTGATATCTTGCAAGAAAATGTCTGAAACTGTTTGAGTCTAATGATAAATAACTTTAATAAATATCCCAATTAATGATTTTCTAGTCTTGTAATGAATTTAATTCAGATGGATGTTATTTGTACTGATAAATATAGAGACCGATTTATAAGTTGAACATAACCCCCTATTTGATGTCTAATACAATTTCTTTGTATAAATCTTATAGCTTGTATAATATCACTTCTAGTTTCTACAATATCCTGAGATGATGTTATTACTAAATCAAAAATAAGATATTGAGAGTAGTGAGTATAAGTTACTCTGTATGGATTTCTAGTCCATTCATTTAACATATCTATTGAAGCACGACAATACTCACCATTTGTAATTCTTAAATGCCGATTATATACATAACAATGTTCACTAGCAGTGCTTGAATAACAAAGAGATTTTATGAATATATTTATGAAAATCATTAATAGAAAACATAAATGCAAATTATTTATCTTGATTCATTTAGTAGAAAAGCTTTAAGTGTTTAAGTTCAAAACATCTAAGTTTGGTACTTTATCTAGATCTCAAATACTATTTTACAAAATATTACATTTCTTCGTCTACAAAAACAAGTAGAAGTGATAAGCAAGAAAAAATAAATTGAAACAAAAAATTAAAATAAATAAATAAAAATAATCTAAATATAAAGAAAAATAAAGTTACATAAGGCAAACACATAAAGATAAAAGAAAAAATAATTAAAAAAATAAAAAAATTAGATAAGAAAATCTTAGGAGTTTGAAGGAAGAATAGTGTAGCTTGAAAAGAGGGACACCAATAAAAAGAACAAAAGAGAGGAAAAACTTAGTTAGTGGATAGAGGCTTATGAGAATGATAATTTGGTTGAGCATTAAAAGTACAAGTAAAAATTATAAAGGGAAGAAAGAGGAAAATAAGAAAGAAGTATAGAAGTAAAAAAGAGTTGAGGTGAGGAGAGAGGAGTTTGAAGAACAATATATGAGTGATATAACAAGGAAAAAGTTTGGATTACTTCATAATGTTTTCTCTTGGAGTCATTTTCAAATTCAATTAGCAATTGCAGTCTTGATCTTGCTTGGACAGGTGCCTCTGATAGTGATTAAAACCATAAGGATACCATAGACTAAAAATGTTATCAAAACAGTCCAATGGATTAAAATAAATAAGTAATAGTATGAAGAATTAAATTATAAGACAGTAGCTAACCATCTTTTATACTACAGAGCTTACAATATTATATGTTTTTTATATTTTATAAACATTAATATTTTAAAAAATATTAGGAACATCTTAAAGCTTTGCAACATGATTTTTATTATGTGACTATCCTACTTTAGAATTTAGTCAGTATTATCAATAATATAGAATTATTAAAAAGTCATCCAAAAATAGTTTGAATATCATAATTTTTTAATAATTCATAAATTTCAATTAACACATGTATTTATACCATATATCAAGCTTTAGTTGTTGAACACGTCAAAATTTTTATAAACAACGAGCTTGTCATACTAATACATCTTCAAATACATCTTTACCCCCCATTTGTAAATTTATACATCTTCTTTCTATCTAAAGCTACTATGATGCAAAGAATTCATTGTCAAATATGTGTATAACATTTCTCAATAACACAACTTGAATATCAAATTAAAACATATAAAACCAAATTCTTGAAATACATGTTGTTCAAACTTCCTTAGTTTTTCTTAATTCTATATTCAAATATATAAGTTTTTTGTAGGACATTCATATGGTAGTTATTGTAACTTTCTTTTCATTAATGTTTCTAGTAAGTGTAATATTAAATTCATATAGTTTATTTTTATATTTATTATTATAAGATCATATTGATGTATTAGATAGATAATTTTAAAGTAAATAATTATTATTTCATTATTTAAGTTAAAGTTTTCATCTATGAGAATATAAGAATATTTAAATGAAGAAATTATTTTAAAATTCTATTTTTTATTAGTAAGTCACTTCAAATACTTATACTTAAAATAAAGCTTTGATATAAATCTTGTAAATATGTATGTCTACATAGAAAATTACTATACCTAATCCCCAATTTGTGGGTTTGGGTACAATGTGTGCCCATAGTCATGGTTGGTCTCTTGTGTGCATTAAGTGTGACTAGTATTCATAAATCAACCACTAAGTGTTTTGGATTTGTGCAAATAAGAGCATGTATGCATAGTTAGAAGTGTGTGTAAAGTGGGTGGGCAACTATAACAAGTAATAAATAGTGTTAGAGAGAGTAATTGAATAAATGGATTGTGACTGTGAATAATCTAGAATGATGGAGATGGCAAATAGAGTGAAATTATATAGTGAAAACCTAAAAACCTTGCTTAAGCAACTTTGGTTCCTTGGTATTATTGATCAAGATCTATTTAGATTGGCTAGTGTGATAGTTGGCATGAATGAATGTTTGTTAGTTTTGCAACATTCATTTTATTCTGTTAATTGTTGCTTGAGTTAGTTATAATAGATTTGGATGTTATTTCCTTCGAGTAATACATTTGCGAGCATTTTGCTTGCCAGTCAATGATACTTGTGTTCCTTGAGATGTTTTTGGTAACTTGTTTGGTATACTATCTACAATCTTTGGTAGTTAAGTTTTTTCATTGAGTTTACTTGATGATGTACTTGCTATTGAATGTTGTTGGATAATGACTCATGTCTTTATCAATTATGATGATCTTGGTGGTTTCTATACTATACTTCTAGTTTATCGGATGATAACTTACTTGGAATACTTTTGTGTTCTAATCTAAGATTTATTCATTGATAATTAAGACTCTAATATATGATTTTGATATTATCCATGTATTGATCTTTCATAAGAACTGAAAAATGCATAAACTTCTAGATGAAAGGAGTTGCTACCACCTTAAGGTAAAAATCCAAGCTCATGCTTTCTCCAATGCTGATATTATAATATCATGATCTTTACCTCTCTTTTCCTTTGTTTTTCTTTCTTTTCTTTGCTTGTACACTTTTTCTAGTATATGATACCATGTGCTCTTTTAAAAGTTTGTTGACTTAGGTCAACAAAGGTAAAACAATGTTTTAATATGAAGAAGATGATAGAGAAGAATTAGGTGTTTAATAGATTGATTTTGCAAAGTTCTTCAACATGGATAAGGTTGAGAGGCTGTCTAGAAGTGGGTAAATGGCAATAATCCTCATTGATGGATTCACTAGAGCAAATAGGTTAGTGAATTCATACTGGGTCATGGAGGACTTGTCATGGAAGACATGTGTATTGAGTCAAGGAAGTTTGATAAAGAAGAAAAATTATAAATTACAAGAGATTAATATGCTAGGAAAAGAAAATACTGCACATAAGAAAAAACACTATAACAAGAAGATGTCTCAGGTTGAGACAAAATAAATGCTTGAAAAATATGAAAAAAGGAGAAAATAGTGTGAGTGCTTAGGATATGGGAATAGATATATTAATTTGGGTTTACACCTCTACTTATATACAAGAATGGATGGATCAGATTTAATTTTAAATAGATGGTCCATATGCTATAGTAATATAATTAGTGTATTACTTAGCTAAGGTATGTATATATAAACACACACACATACATATATATATATAATCTTCCAAGACCATTAGTAACTTGGACTTATAACTATAAGCAAAACTTATTTTCGGGTTTTCCCTTCGGTCAACATCCAAAACCTATGTTAACTTAAACTCATAACTATCATCCTCGTCCAACACTACACATGGGAGGTTGGACTTACTTTATTCGTCCTCCACATCCTCTTTATCTCTTCCTCGAAGGAATTTTTTTTTTGAAGCACTGATTTTGTTCAAACTCGTTGCACTCATCTTTACTCTACCATTTATGTTTAGTCTCATTCCACTATCACATTCATTTGGCCTTATTATATCAAGGTTGAATATTATATTCAAACTCTTTATGTTTGTCTTTACTCTACAATCTATATCATTTGTCTTTGCTCTACTATTGTATCCACTCATCTTTACTCCATTGTTGAGGTTGGACTCTTGTCCATCCCCTCTACCCCCTCCTCCAAAGAAAAAAAAGTTTGAAATGTCAGGGAAAAAAGGATAAAGAGATAAAAAGAGAGGAAAAAATATTGTGGAAGAAGAGAAAGTGGATAAAGAAGTAAAATTCAAAAGAGGAATTTTCAGCAATTATTAAAGTAAAAATGGGGAGGAAATAAGGAGACATGTTCAAAACTTGGAAAACAAAGGATCTACTATGATAAAATACTTTGGCTAGCACGAGATAAGTAAGAAATTTATACCACTCAACTTCCTCAACACACAATTCAACACTAGAGATAAAAAAAAAAAAAAATTAATAGAAAAGTTGTCACGAATGTGACTTCGGGTATCGAAAGATACTTGTTGGCCAATTCTTATGAACACTCTTTCCTTTCACTTGGATATTTTTATTGGAACATCACTCACAAATTTTCTGGCTACTTGCCCACCTTCCGCAAACTAAAAGTGTATGGGTGACATTTGCTCAGCATTCAATCTTAACAACTTAACTAAGTTTTCAGATATCATGTTGTGCATAGCTTCGGTCTCAATCATTACTTGGATTTGGTGTCCACGGATAAAGCCTATTAGATACATCAACAGATCAGTGTTTGCATTGATTGTGAGAAAAACTTGAGGAAAGCAACAAAAGTGGCTCATCTCCTCTTCCTCATAGTCTGCATTGACCAACTCGTCAACCCCTTCAGCTTCACCACCACTGTCTTCCCTCATGAAATTAACATGAAACTTTGTCTTATGCTTGTTGGGACATTTCGAGGACCTATATCCCGACTCTCCACAATGGAAGCAATGACCCACACTACCTATTCCACTAGGAGCAGCTTTTGCCAATTGCTGCTACTTATACAGGAGGAGGAACAGAAGGCCTAGGACCAGAAGAAGCTGTTAGTGGTCTCCAACCACCACCACCTTTGTTAACTGTTGCTTATGAGCCTTTAGAGTGGAACCTGCCTTCCACCCTTTGTTTCCAATCACCTTGTTTATTCCCAGAATTTTTGTTCTTGTCTGAAGTACTAGCATACAGTTATTGATATTGTTCCATGAGCGAGTGACTAAAGGCAATTTGTTGTGCTGCCTCCTTACACTCCAGGTACGTCTTTGGCTTAAACTTCAAAATCTCATTATGAGAAAGTGAACGTAAACCCTCTAGGAAATAACTTTGAGCATCTTTGTCACTCATATTTGTAATCATAATGCACTTCTGAGCAAATGCATTAACGTAATGCATGAGATCCCCTCATTGCTTTAACTACCGTAGCTCTGTGCGAAGTCTCAAACCAAGATCATCCGGCAAGTATTCCTTACGGATATGAGACCGCATCTTGGTCTAACTTCTAGTTTGCCCTTTTTCAGCACACACCTGGCGCCACCAAATTTTGGCATGATCGATAAGAAAGGATTGCGTGCATGCAACTTTCGTACCACTATGAAATAGTTTTCCATATTGTAGACCCAGTCTTTCAAAACCTGATAGTCCCACATGCCTCTGAAATTGAGTGGTTTTGGAGGTTTGAACTTTGAAACTCATGCAACTGGGGGTGGTTGCAGAACTTCATCATCCTCAGAACTTGAGGAGGAGTCTGGTTGCTTAGGTTTAGCTGGTTTAGCCGCTTCAGCTTCTTTCTTCCTCTTCTTGTTCCCCTTTTTCAATTTGTGAACTTCCATTCGTAAATTCTCGATCTCAATTTCCTAAGCCATATGCTGCAGTGCCGCAGCATCTGGCTCTTCCTCTTCTGACTCGGTCTCTGCTTCTTCTACAACATCTCTAGCAGGAGATTCCTCCTCTCAATTCGCCCGTTTAAAGGTTTTAGTGTCATCAACACGGTTCCTTTTCACCATCCCACTAGTTGCATGCATGCCTCTATCAGTAATTGAATATGCATACAACGTTCTTACCGAATGGTGCAATCTAACTAATCCTACATAGGTCGCTTCAAATCTACTAGAAAAGTCTTTGTATATGCAACTTGAGTCAGAAAATCCGACAAAAGTTGGATAGGAATCACTGAAACAATTCCTCTGATACCAAATCTAGCGCACCTGAATTTGGAGCTGAACTCTAAGCCCATTGCGGTACGAAACGAAGGTCCGGTACGATCCCATGAGAACCAGCTCCTCGTATCCAACACTTGCATGCAAAATGGTGTCAGACAGAGTCTGGCACAATTTTGGCATATCAGTGGCCTAACATGAGGAGGAAGGTACCCCACTGACTAGAACAGCATGGGGCTTAGGCTTAGACCTAAGCCAGACGCAAAATAAGGAATGACACAACCTAATAGGTGCCAAACTAATGTCTCAGATAGTTGAATATGCATTCCAACCACTATCCCTACTATACATTTGGAACCCCCCACAATCTCCCCGACCCTCCCCCCCCGCCCCCTTGAAGAACACATGTTTTGGGCTTTCACCCCAAGCTTCCCTTAGTACCAAGAGTTAGTCTCTGGGATAAGCTCGAAAGTTACTAAATATAGAATATTCCTAGATTGTGACTTTGGACACGGGATGAACACCATCGTGTTCAAGCCAATCTCTACATTCCGTAAATATGCCAAATAAGCGAATCTAAACACTTCCCACAAATAGTATTTAAGAGCAAAATGAGACTAACACAAAAAGGTATGATAGCAAGGGTGTTTGGTAGACACAATAAGCTATCAT